TTTATTAAAAAAATTAAACTTTTTAATAAAAACACAGGCAAATTTGCCTGTGTTACAATTTAAGGGATAGTATTTAGCACTATATATAATTGTTTTAATAAAATTTAAAGTTAGGGTGCATTTTGTAATATTTTTTTTTTATATATTATATAATGTAGATTAGATATAAGGTTTTAATTTAGTTTTTATAAAGTTTTTGGAAGTCCTGGTTATTTTTACTTAGAATACCTGTTCCTGTTTATTTAGTATATTTTTGAGAAATAAAGACCTATAGTGTTAAATACCATAGATGCATTTTAGCAAACTTGTTACAAAATTATTATAAAATTATTATAAGATTATTGTAAAATAATTATAAAATAAGAGTATTGCTAATTTTAACTGGGGGGAATTTTCTCCCAATCACGTGATATGCATAAATATTTAATTTTATATAGTATACTTTATATAATAATATATATAAATAATTAATATATTACACAATATATTTATAACTTATAAATAACTAACGTATATTACACGAAGTACGCATTGACCATCTTTTTCCCTATAGATGCATTACACAAAATATTTAAAAGAAGTTTGATACAAGTTACTCTCGTTATAGTGAAGTGATCGCGCTATAAGATTTTCTTCACTATATCAAGAACTATTAGTAAATTCACTATATCGAGAGACTTTTATAAACATGTCATTATTATAACAGATGGTTCACTATAATGAGAGTGACTTGTACATTATTCGCTTAATAAATTGAAATAATTTAGTTATGTTAGATGAGTTGATAAATACTACAAGAAAAATCCAGTGAAAATATACTTACTAATTGTTATTGTTACCAATTCCGAACTGATTATAATTATAGACTTTAGTATGTTTAATATTATGCTTAGTCTAAACATTAGTATAGTTAGTATATATAAACAATTAAGCATTCAAGTTGATTTTGCTAGCTTATAAAAACACTTCAAAAGCAAAAATAAAAGCAAATTAAAAATTCATGATCTAAGCTAAGTACATATAACCCAATCTAAATCTAATATGCAAGTTGTTTACTAATCATTATTAAATTTCAGCTTTGCAGGTAGCTCGATTATGACCCTTTTCACCACATCTTTTGCATCGCTTTTTATTATTAGATTGTTGGATGTTGGTATCAGTATTGGACAAATAGCGACGTTTTTTTGTATTTGATTCTTGAATTTCAACATCACTTTTTGCTCTACCCGGAGGCCTTCCTCTTCTTGCAGAAACAATAGGATTAGCGATTGGAATATTCTCAGATTGATCATCTTCATTTAACGCTAATTGCTTGTTTGTAAAAAATTGCTGACATAATCCAATTAATTCATCATATGAATTACTGTTGATAGCAACGTTGATAATCTTCTTTATTAACCTATATGCGTAACCATATTTTGACCGTGTATTGTTTATATTTCGAAGAACTGGAGTATATAATTCACCTCCCTGCAATTGCTTTACATGTTCAAGATTGAAAGTATAATTAGTTACAGCATAATCTTTAGATGATTCTATACATAATGAAATAGGATTATGTTGCATCAAAAAATCTTGGTCATTATCGATCTTGTTATCTCTATACCACCATTTTAATATGAGACCAATATTACAGGAGCGACCGTCGATGTTACACGACTGATTTTTCACCCGGTGTGCAACATATAAAAAAACTATTTTACAAT